GACTAGGTTAGTTTTGCCTTTATGTTAAATTACGTAAGAATTTATGTTAGGTTAAGTTAAATTAGGTTTAGTTAAGTTTGATCAGGTTAGCATTTAGGGGCAAATAACCTAGGGTGTCTAAAGTTCACGTGATCCTTTAGATAATCATTCAATAATTTCGCGTGATGGAGAGTTGGCCAGATTTATTCCCTCCTCGCTGCCTGGGTAATTATAAACTCATCGGGTTTATGTCAGCTTCTGGGAGTTGCCGGATATTTCGCCTCGTTAAAAACTTACTTAGAGAGATTCGACGGATCCAGCAGAGTAGCGGATCCAGTTGGTGAATTAAAGGGTCAGATATGAGTCAAAGTTGGCATGAGGCTGTGTGTGTGTGTGTGGGTGGGGGGTAGTGCAGTGTGAGAGTAGTGTAGTGTGGAGTAGTGTGTGTGTGGGGGGGGTGAGGGGTTGGGGAATTGTTGTGTGTGTGTGTGTGTGTGTGTGTGTGTGTGTGTGTGTGTGTGTGTGTGTGTGTGTGCCTTCGCTAACCAGACTCGCCTGCGTTGTCTCGCTCCTCAGGTAGGGGGTAAATAAAACAACACATGAGCCATTTGAGAAACTAGTGCTGGACTTTCCGGACAACTTGCATGTATTTCACGTTTGATTGGAAGCCTCTCACCCTCGCTTCCCCCAACCCCACACTCTCAGACCCCCACTCCCTCACTCCCCAACCCTCTCTCAGCCCCTCATCCCCAACCCTCTCTCCAGCCCCCACTCCCTCACTCACCCAACCCTCTCTCCAGCCCCTCATCCCCAACCCTCTCTCTCAGCCCCCCATTCCCTCCTCTAGCCCTCTCTCTCAACCCCTCACTCCCCAACCCTCTCTCTCCAGCCCCCACTCCCCTCACTCCCCCAACCCTCTCTCTCTCAGCCCTGCTCCCCAACCCTCTCTCCTCAGCCCCTCCCCTCCCACTCCCCAACCCTCTCCTCCTCAGCCCCTCATCCCCAACCCTCCACCAACCCCCACTCCCTCCCACTACCCCTCTCTCTAACTTCCACTTTCTCTTAATTACCCCCCCGCCCCATGGTGAGCCCCCCGTGTTCCGGGGTACCTTGATCTCGGCTCATCCCGTCAAGTCAGATGTTGTAAATCACTAAGCGTTTCCTATATATTTACATTCCTGAGCGTCAGGAGCGATTTACACTCATATTTACACTGTAGTCTTCCCGGAGTCTTAATAGACGGGAGAGAGAGAGGATACTGGTGTGTGACGTCGTGTTGTCCAATGATGTTTACGTCACTGGTCAACGTCATCAAGAGGAGAGACTAATGTATTCTTGTGTATAAAGCCTCATTAAGAGTTCTGTCTGGTGTTTACCTGTTGTTTTGGTGTGAGAGAGAGAGGATTTTACTGAGAAATTTGTTTTATTGGGTTATTTTAGGTTGGAGTTGGAGTTAGTTTAAGTTAGGTTAGGTTAGGTTTGGTTTGGTTTGGTTTGGTTTGGTTAGGTTAGGTTAGGTTAGGTTAGGTTAGGTTTGGTTAGGTTAGGTTAGGTTTGGTTTGGTTAGGTTATGTTAGGTTAGGTTATCTCTGTCTCTCACCATGAACAATTCACTGGTAGAAACTTTTACCTCTTGTTCGTGTTCCACATTAAACGCTAGAAAAAACTTGTCTGATAACTTTTGGAGGGAGCTGTTTAACTTGGTAATACTGCAGGCGACGCTGGGGGAAATTCCTCAGAAATCTCGGTATTTCGTGGAATTTATTCTTTTATAGATGGGCGCCTGTGTGTACCGTACCTCGTAATAGGTCACCTGGAGGTCAGTGGTAGTTTGTGGAGTATGAGCTGTAATTAGCGTATCTCAGGTAATATTTGTGTGTGTGTGTGTTAGTGGGGAATGGGTGTTGTGTGGTTGTGTTGGTGGGAAGTGGGTGTTATGTGGTTGTGTTGGTGGTGGCAGTGTGGTAAGAGGTGGTAGCATGGGGGGGGGGTGCACGACAAACAACTCTCCACATCAAAGCGTGACCAGACCTCCAACACCGCCTGTGGCCTCACTACTGTCTCCATACACACACACACACACACGGGTATACACACGGGGATATACTGTACATACACAAACATTTTACAAACATCTATTCACACTGGCACACATACAACCAATATTTTTTTTCTCTCAATCTTAAATAATTTCATAAGATTAACAGTTTTATTTTTTAGCTCACGGACTCTCTTAGTCTTCCCACCAAGTAAATATATATATATATATATATATATATATATATATATATATATATATATATATATATATATATATATATATATAATATATATATATATATATATATATATATATATATTTTTATCTTTGAAGTAAATTTTCCTTTGTAGCTTTGAAAGAAGAGAAACTTTTATACGTGTGTGTGTGTGTGAGTTCAAGAAGACGAAGGCATCCTTCAGCGCTAGAAAGAGCACTCCATTCATTGCTCAACCGAAACATCGATGAGGATGTCCTGACTACCCAGCAGGTCCCTCAGCATCCAGAGCTGACCCACCTCAGCTATTCTTCATCCCTGGATGAGGTAGCTACTGCCATCAAACAGATGAAAAATAACAAAGCCTCGGGGCCTGATCGAATCCCAGCCGAGGTGTATAAAGCAGGAGGAACTCTGCTTACCAGCCGTCTCCACTCTCTCCTGGAGAATATATGGGAAGAGGAGGAAATCCCCCAAGCTCTTAAAGACGCCTCCATCGTCAATATTTGTAAGAACAAGGGAGACCTGTCAGACTGTGGCAACTACCGTAGGATCTCGCTGCTCTCTGTAGCTGGCAAGATTATCGCCCGAGTCCTCCTAAAGACTTCTTCCTGAAGCGGAAAACTTAATCCCAGAATCTCAGTGTGGTTTTAGACCATCACGTGGCACCACTGACATGATCTTTGCTGCCCGCCAGATACAGGAAAAGTGCAGAGAACAGCGTCTTGACCTGGACATGGCTTTCATCGACTTAACCAAGGCCTTCGACTCGGTCAATAGGGAAGCCCTCTGGTGGACCCTCAGTCATTTTGGCTGCCCACCAAAATTCATCGCCATTGTGAGGCAACTCCACGATGGCATGAACGGCAGTGTCCTGCACAACGGCACCCAGTCATAGTTCTTCCCCATCCAAAAGGGGGTTAAACAAGGGTGTGTACTGGCACCAACTCTCTTTTCCATCTTCTTGGTTGCCTTCCTTACTCGTGCCAGTGGCAATTTAGCCAGCGGGGTGAACATCGAGTACCGGATGAAGGGTCTTTTCAACATAAGACGACTCCAGGCAAGAACAAAGGTGTCGGCAGCTTCCATTACTGAACTTCAGTATGCAGACGACCTCACCCTTGTTGCTTACACGGAACACGACCTACAGCAGATCCTTAACACCTACGTAGACGTGTATGCAAACTTCGGCTTTAACGGTACTACCTTCTCTAATGTTGGCCACTTTCGGTATCTCGGCTCCCACCTGTACACCACCGCAGACATCGATGAAGAGATTCAGCATCGGATCATATGTGCATCTCAAAGCTTTGGCAGACTCCGAAATCGTGTCTTCAGCTGTAGGGAGCTGAAATTATCTGCAAAGCTGCACATATATCGAGTAGTGGTCCTCCCCACCCTGCTATATGGCAGTGAGACATGGGTCACATACAGGAGGCACCTCAAGGCACTTGAAAACTTTTACCAACGTAGTCTACGTTCCATCCTCCGAGTTCGCTGGGAAGACAAGAGAACAAATGCCAGCATTCTTGCTGACACCAACTGTAGGAGCATCGAAGCTACCATTATCCATGAACAACTACGCCGGACTGGGCATGTTACCCGCATGGACGACAGTAGACTGCCAAAGCAGCTACTTTTCAGTCACCTAACGAATAGTAAACGTAACGCTGGCGGGCAATTGAAAAGGTATAAGGATAGTCTTAAGACAAACCTGAAAAAATGCCAAATCGACCCCCTCACCTGTGAGGCGATTACTCCACATCGTAACGCTTGGAGGAGTACCTCACGAGTTAGCCCGACTGCAAACCGAGGCAGACAAGCGCCAACGCCGGAAAGACGCTACCACCGCCCCTATCGCACTATATGTAGCCCTCCACATGTGCAACGAATGTGAATGGCTCTGCGGGTCACCAACCTAAGTGACATCCCTAATAACTCATATCATTGTATCACAGCTGGATGATCGTCATACTCGATTCCGAGTGACAGCAAAGTAGTAGTAGTAGTAGTAGTAGTAGTAGTAGTAGTAGTAGTATGTGTGTGTGTGTGTGTGTGTGTGTGTTGGATTTTTGTTGGGTTAATTTATGCAAAGGTGAGGGAGGAGGTGAAGTAAGTTGTGCATCTTGAGGTTTAGAGTAAGGTCAGGTTAGGTTAGGTTAGGTTAGGTTAGGTTAGGTTAGGTTAAGCTAGGATAGGTTATATTATACTGCGTGTGTATGTTAAGTATGTTAGAATGATATAATGTGTGTATGATAGTGTTAGAATGTGTGTGTATGTTAGTATGTTATGATGGTATACTGTGTTACGTTAAGAACTCATGAGGACAACATATCCAACATACCAACAGCTGGTCTGCATGTTGTTGATATATGTGGCCAAAACAACATTAATAATAATATTTTAACGTTAAACTTTTACTGAATTAAATCTCTGTATTTTTTCTTAGCTCGGAGGAATAAATTGTCTCTGAGGAAATAATAAATTTTTTTTTATTATATTTAATATTTATTGTGTGTAGGAGAAAGATATTTGTTTAATTGTATTTTCTCTTTATTTCTCTATTTCTCTTATCTCTCGTTTTCTCCTTTTCTCTTTCTTTATCACTCTATCCCCGTTTAATTTAAATTCTCTCTCTCTCTCTCTCTCTCTCTCTCTCTCTCTCTCTCTCTCTCTCTCTCTCTCTCTCTCTCTCTCTCTCTCTCTCTCTCTCTCTCCTTGTTTATATATGTTTGTAATTATTGTTCTCTCTCTCTCTCACAGCTTCAGGGTAATCTGGACACGGAGATCTCGCCCTGCCTAGACTTCTGGAGCTATTCTTGTGGGGGCTGGCTGGAGGACAACCCTATCCCCGTTACCAGGTCCAAGTGGTCCATCAAGGAGAAGCTCAGGCACCAAGGTCAGTGTCAGGAGGGGTCAGTGTCAGGAGGGGTCAGTGTCAGGAGGGTCCAGTGTCCAGGAGGTCCCAGTGTCAGGAGGGGTCAGTGTCAGGAGGGTCAGTGTCAGGAGGGGTCAGTGTCAGGAGGGGTCAGTGTCAGGAGGGTGTGTCAACTTGTCCTCCTCCTCATGTTTACGTGTGTCAAGTGTCGTTCTTTTGTCATTCGGCACGTGAGGGTGTCAAAAGGTTACTTGGTTACGTCTCGGGGTTGTATGATTGATTACTTCTGAAGGTCATTTGATTAATTTTGAAGAGGCTGCGGGATTAGAGGATGAAGAGATTGAGGGAGAGGATGAGGTTGAGGATGAAGAGATTGAGGAGAGGATGAGGAGAGGGGGTGAGGAGAGGATGAGGGGGTGAGGAGTGGGGGTGAGGAGAGGATGGTGAGGATGGGGTGGGGAGAGTGGGGTGGTGGGGGTGAGGGGAGTGTATGAGGTGAGGTGGGGGGTGATGAGGGTGAGGAAGTGGGGGTGTGGAGGATGGGGAGGGTCGTGGCCGTCTTAGAAAAGTTCGCTCGGCTAACTTCTTTTATGGCACTTTATTATTTCTTCTCAGTGACCCACCCAAAAATCTCTGCTGGTGGCTCTTGTTGGTGATCTGACAGCAGCTGTACTTATCACTTTCACTACTATCATCATCATCACTATCGTCACCATCATCATGCTACTATCTATCATCATCACTACTATCACATCATCACTATCATCATAGTAGTATCATCCTTCACTATCATCATCACTATCATCACCATCATCCACTATATCATCGCCATCTACCACCTTATCGCTACTATCATCATCGCCACTATTATCATCATCCTCATCTTATCGTCACCATCACTACCAAAATCAATGTACTACTATCCATCATCATCACTGCTATCAATACCATCCTGCCATATTCATCATCACTACTATCATCATCACTACTATCATCATCATCACTACTATCATCACCATCACTACCACCATCATCACTACTATCATCATCATCACTACTATCATCACCATCACTACCACCATCATCACTACTATCATCATCATCACTACTATCATCATCATCATCACCATCACTACCACCATCATCATCACTATCATCATCACTACTATCATCATCATCATCACTATCATCACCATCATCATTACTACTATCATCATCACTACTATCATCATCATCATCACTATCATCACCACCATCATCATCACTACTATCATCATCATCACTACTATCATCATCATCATCATCACTATCATCACCATCATCACTATCATCACCATCACTACCACGATCATCATCACTACTATCATCATCATCATCACTATCATCATCATCACTATCATTATCAAAATCATCTTCATTATCGTTATTAATATGCACTAGCACACAGCAGTAACAGCATTACCAACACAGCACCAGTACCAAGATAGCACCAGTACCAAGACAGCACCAGTACCAAGACAGCACCAGTAAGAGACGAACGTAATAGCCTTGGCCAAGTAATGGTGTGTGGTGGGTACCGTGGTTATCGTCATCTCTCTCGGCCATAAAATTAGCACTTCATCTCCTTATTATCACTTGGCAAAGCCGGACACACCCAGCAGGATCCCTTCCCCTAAGCCTGCCACACTCCGCCCGCCAACCAGCCGAGGCCACACACACAGCTCAGCCGACTACCGTATTTTTAACAGCTCGTCACACACAGACACACACATGGACTAAGAGGATCCTGCCTCAAGAATTCTCAAACCTCCCGTGTGATTTTTTTTTGTTCTTTATTTCGCTGTGGATAAGACTTAGGACTTAGCTACAGTAAAGCCTCTCTAGTGTATTTTTTGACGCCATTAGACCCACCATCTTTTATCCCATTGGTTAAGTGGGTCAGTTAGATGCATTCCTCTCGGTCTCGTATTTAATGTTAAGAGGGAAAATTGATCCGTTGGAATAATGGTTAGTCTGAAGGTTGAGCCCAGGAGGAGTGTTCTTCTTCCTCCTCCTCCTCCTCCTTCCTTCCTCTTTCCTCTTTCTCCTACTCTTCCCTCCTCTTCTTCCTCCCTTAGGTTAGGTTAGCGTGAGGTCAGACTATGTTCGCGTGTTTAATTATCAGGTTAATAAATAAGCTGGGGAGCCTAATCTTCAGGTGATCCTTCTCTTCAACCTCCTCAAAGCCTCATCATCCTGGAGTCTCACACACGAAAGACTCTCAAAGAACAGTCTCCAGTCTTTAAGTCCCTCACAGATAGTTTCCAGAAACTTACAAACTAGTCAAGTATTTCCTCAACAACAATCACGATGGTAAGAATTATGTCATGGAGGAGGAGAAGAAGAGGAGGAGGAAGAAAGAGAAGGAGGAGGAGGAGGAAGAATTAGAAGGAGGAGGAGGAGGAAGAAAGAGAAGAAGGGGGAGGAAGAAAGAGAAGAATAAGGAGGAGGAAGAAAGAAGGAGGAGGAAGAAAAAGAAGAAGGAGGAGGACGAGGAGGAAACAGAAGGAGGAGAAGGAAGGAAGGAATACGTAATGCAAAGTAAGGGCTTGAGCGTACAGCCCAGTAGGAATCTAAAGTGTGTGTGTTCAGGCCCTAAGCTCTCACAGGACAAGCCCTCTCTCTCTCTGGCGGGTCTCAAGGAACATGATTTAGTTGCTAGACGTGAAGACTAAACCCATACTCTTATACAGTGATACCTCTATTTAACGCACTAGTCCGTTATATCGAAGTCCGTTAGATGTGACGTCCCCATTTAACGGTTAGGTTAAGTTAGATTAGGTTAAGTGACCCGCTATAATGGCACTCGGTATAGATGACAACATACCGGTACACTAACAGCATCTTAAGGTTGTATTATTGACTGTCCTGTATCGTCTATATGTGATCAAAAGTGCCTCTTGTTGGTACACTGGTTACGGATTGGCACTTAGGCATTGGCACCCCCTTTAGGATAGATACTCACTCAGGGATCAGCATTCCCCCTACAGAATGGCACCCACGCATTGGCACTCACATTAGGATTGGTAGTTACAGATTGGCACACCCACTTAAGGCTCGGCACTCACATTACTTCCTTCGTGTTCATCATTTACTACAGGCTCTAGCAACTGCCGCCTCAGAGTAACAGTGTGTCAGAGTAGCTATTTTATGCCTGGGTAAATCATTTGGTGTAGAGTGTTATTGGTAGTTGATGGTGCTGGTGGGGTGTTGAACTGGTTGACTGGCTGAACATATGAATGATGAAGGAAATGAAGTAAGTAGGGTATTGGTGATATCAATATGAAAGAAGGCAAAGGAATGAAGCAAACAGAGTAAATATCAGTACATGGATCATTCACGCAGACTGAAAGCAGTAAGGGAAGGAGGAAGGCAAGCAAAAAAGGGGTACATAGACATGCAAGCACACGGGCAGGCAGGGTGGTATGACACGAAGTCAAACACAGCGACAGTGGGCAAGCACTGGGGCAGACAGGGCAGGGAGGGAGAGGGGCAAGCACACAGCTGCAGGCACACAACACAGGGAGAGTCATGCCTGCAAGCAACCCCAAACTTGTGTACACACACACACACACACGGACATTCCTCTGCGTGTACGTGACAGAGAGGCTCACCTACATCAGAAGACAATGCTCTCTCTCTCTCTCTCTCTCTCTCTCTCTCTCTCTCTCTCTCTCTCTCTCTCTCTATAAATATAATAAATAAAACTTATATTTCCTATCATATCAATCATACCTACTTTGATACACACACACACACTTAACGGCAGGTAAGGTTCAGGACATCTGTAATCACATTTACATGCCATGTGAAACCTTCGACCAGTCAACTCCGGGCAAACAACACTAAGGTTCACTGCTTCAGACTTTGGAGCAATTAAGATCGGTCTATTTCTGTCGACTCCGGAGCAATCAATCACCACAATCTACCACCATCATCCCACCTTGGACCAATCAATCACCACAATCTACCACCATCATCCTACCTTGGACCAGTCAACACCACAATCTACCACCATCATCGTACCTTGGACCAGTTAATCACCACAATCTACCACCATCATCCCATCTTGGACCAATCAATCACCACAATCCACCCCCCCCCCTGGGAGTAGTCAATCACCACAATCAACCACCACCATTCCACTAAAACCTAACCTAACCTCAGTAGTACCGTTCATTCAATATATTTTTGTTTAATCTTCCTTCACTCAATCTTTCTTTCTTTCATTCTTTCCTTCACTCAATCTTATCTTCATTCATTCAATCTCTTTACATCGAAACATTTTCCACAAGATTTTTTTTTTTTTCCCCAGACGAAAATCTCAAAACTCGAGGAATTTAGTGAAGGAAGGTCTTAGAGCTAGAGATTACCACTGATAATACTGGCAATCCCTTCCCCGAGCATCTTTCACACATTTCTCCCAATTTCTTAAGTTTGAATGGCACCACGAGCGACGACAACTCCGCTGGCACCTAGAACCTTGCCTTGGGGTATGCCTGCCTGCTTGCTTGCTTGCTTGCCTGCCTGCCTGCTTGCTTGCTTGCTTCCCTGCCTTCTTCACTGCGTCTCTGCCTCGCTGTCTCGCCTGCCTGCCTCCCTACCTGCCTTGCCTCTCTGTCGTTATCTCCCTGCTTCTCTGGGTACAGGGTGGGGAAGGATTTTTTTTTTAGGGGAATTAAATTATCATATGTTTGTTATTATTAGTCTTATTGTTGTTTTATTATTGATTTCGTTATTATTATTATTATTTACTTGATTATATTTATTTTAATTACAATTATCATCATCATTGGCATCATCTACCTGGGATGGTAAATAATAATAAATAATAAAGACGCATCCTGTAACTTCTCAAGATCAACATCGACATATTGATTCTTGTGAGGCACTGAGATGCGTTCACCACCACCCCCACACCCCACCGTGCACCCCCAACCCCCACTTACCCCGTTTTATACCAGGAAAAAAATCTACCTTAC